ACTTCAATATCTTCCTCCCAATAAGGGATAGAACAAGCACACAGAAGGTAAGTAAGGAAATAGAGGACTTAACAATTAACCAACTAGGTCTGACAGACATGTAAAGAACAACACCCAACAACACACATTATCCTCAAGTGTACACGACATTCTCCAGGACAAACGATAGATCATGCCACAAATTAAATCTCAGTAGATTTCTGAAAGCTAGATGTCACACAAAGTATCTTCTCCAAATACAACAGATGAAGTTAGAAATCAGTATCAGAAGGAAAACTGGAAAATTCACAAATGTGGAAATTAAACGACACACTCTTAACAATCAAGGGGGCAAGGAAGAAATCATAAGGGAAATTTTTAAAAACTTAGAGAAAAATGAAAATGAAAACACAATACACTAAAACGTATGGGATGCAGTGAGAGCAAACTGCAGGGTAAACATGTAGCTAAAACGCTTCCGTTAAAAAGAGAAAGACCTCAAACCAACGACCTACCAATGTAAGGAGATTTAAAAAAGAACGAATGTACCCAAAGCTGGAGGAAAGAAAATAATAAAGATTAGAGCAGAGATAAGCAAAACAGAGAATACAAAAATCATAGAGAAAATCAAAATAAACAGAAAAGTCGGTTCTTTGAAAAGATCAACAAAACTGACAAACCTTTACCTTAGATGGACTAAGAGAAAGAAGATTCAAACAAAATCAGAAATGCAAGTGGAGGACATTACTACCTATTCTACGGAAATAAAAAGGATTACAGGACAGCACTATGAAAATTGCGTATTAACAAATTAGATAACCTATATGAAATGGAACAAATTCCTAGGAAAAAAAACCTATCCAGGACTGAGCCACAAAGAAATAGAAAATCTGAACAGACCTGTGGTGTGGAGACTGAGTCAGCATCCAAACTCCCCCAACACGAAAAACCCGGGAACCGACAGCTTCACTAACGAATTCACACACATTCAGAAACGAACGAACGCCAACCCATCTAAAGCTTTTCCAAAACATGAAGAGGAAGGAACATATCCTCACTCACGCTATGAGGTCAGCGTTATCCCACTGCCAAAGCCAAAGACACCACAGAAAAGAAAGCTACAGACCAGTGTCCCTGATGAACACCGACGGGACAGTCGCCAACAAAACACCGGCAAACTGAACTTGGCAGCATATGAAAAGTTTCACGTGTCATCACCAAGTGGGATTTGGTCAGCAAATGAAAATCGATCAATGTAACACAGCACGTTAACCAAAGGAAGGACAAAAGCCATACCATAATCTCAAGTGGTAGAGAAAAAGGCCTTGACAAAATCCAACACCCTTCCGTGACAGATAAAAACACTCAACAAACTAGGAATAGAAAAACTATCTCAAAATAACGAAAGCCATACATGAGAAACCCACAGCAAGCGTCACACTCAGTGGTAAAAGACCGAAAGCTTTCCTCTAAAGCAAGTAGAAGGCAGTTCTAGTCAACATAGGACTGGAGCAATATAGGCAAGAAAAAGAAAGACAGACATTTAAGTGGGAAAGAAAGAGGTAAAATTATCTCTGTTCACAGATGATACGATCTCACAAGGAGAAACTTCCCCCACCAAAACTGTTAGAATAAACAAACTTAGCAAAGCAGCAGGACACACAATCAATACACAAAAACCAACTCCATTTCTACATACTAACAAGTAAAGTTTAAGAAAAACAGTTCCATTTGCATAGTACCAAAAACAATAAAATACTTGGCAATCAGCTTAAATAAAGAGGTAAAAGACTTAAACAATGAAAACTACACAACATTGCTGGAAGAAATTAAAGAGAAAAATGAAAGACATTTCATGTTTGTGGATGAGAGCACTTAATACTGTTAAGATGTCAATACTACCCAAAGCTATCTACAGATTCAATGCAATCCCTGACAAAATCCCAACATCATTTTTTGCAGAAATAGAAAAAATCCATCCTAAAATTCCTATGGAATCTCAAGGGATTCCAAATGGCCAAATAATTGTCTAGAAAAAAAAAAAAAAAGAAACAAAATTGGAGATTCACACTTTCTGATTTAACTCACCACAAAGCTACAGTAATCAAAACAGTGTGGTACTGATATAAGACATACGGATCAAAGGAACAGAATAAAGACCCCAGAAATAAACCCTCAAGTACATGATCAAATGATTTTTGATAAGGGTGCCTAGACCATTCAATGGGAAAGGGACCATCTTTTCAACAAACGGTGCTGGGAAAACTGGATGTCCACACAAAAGAATGAAGCTGGACGCTTAGCTAAACGCTACATACAAACATTAACTCAAAATGGATCAAAGACCTACATGGGAGAGTTAAAACTAAAAAACCATTGAAAGAAAACACAGGGCAAAAGCTTCAAGACGCTGGCCTTGGCAATGATTTCTCGGATAGGATGCTGAAGGCAAAGGCACCAGAAGAAAAGACAGATGTTACTGCACTTCATGAAAACTAAAAACTTTGTGCATCAAAAGACACTATCGACAGAGTAAAAGGGCAACCCACAGAATGGGAAATAGTTCCAAATCACACATCTGATAAAGGATTAACATCCAGAATATACAGACAACATCTAGAACTCAACAATAAAAAAAAAAAATCTAATTCAAAAACAAGCAAAGAACTTGCACAGCCATTTCTCCAGAGAAAATACGTAGTCAGTCGACACATCAACCACAAGGCGGTGTCCCCTCCCAGCATTTAGGACGGCCGCCATCAGAAGAACAACCGCCAAAAAAGTGGTGGTGAGGGTATGAACAAACGGAAAACTCTGCACGCCATCGGTGGACATGTAAAATGGTGCAGCCTCTGTGGAAAACAATTTTGCAGTTGCTCAGAAACTTAAACAGAATTCCCACATGATCCGACAATTCCACATCAGGGATACGCCCCAAAGAACTGAGAGCGAGATACCTGCGCACCCACGCTCACTGCAGCGTTACTCAGAACAGCTGAACGTGGAAGCAACTCAGGTGTCCACCAACAGACGAATGGATGAGCAAAACATGGCATAGTCACACGATGGAATGTTATTCAGCCTCAAAAAGGAAGCACATTGTAATTTTAAAAAGATCTTGTTTTAAAAATTTTAAAAGGCAGATGCCATGGCTCATGCCTGTAATCCCAGCACTTTGGGGGGCCGAGGTGGGAGGATTGCTTGAGGCCAGGAGTTTGAGACCAGCTGGGCAACACAGTGAGATCCTGTCTCTACAAAAAATCATGCCACTGCACTCCAGCCTGGGCAAGAGAGATCTTGTCTCAAAACACAAAAAAGAAGGACGTTTGGAAACATGCTACAACATGAATGAACCTTGAGGACATCACACTCAGTGAAATGAACAGTCACAGAAGCACAAATGCTGTCTGATTCATATGCGGTACCAGAATAGTCAGATTCACAGAGACAGAAGGTGGATGGGAGCTGCCAGGGGAGAGGGCGAGGGACTGGGGAGTTACCATGACGGACACGGATTTTCATTTCTGCACAATGAAAAGGGTTGTCGAGATGGAGGGTGGTGATGGTTGCCCAACAATATGAATGTACTTAACACCACCACACTGTACACTTAAAAATCATTAGGATGGCATTTTTGTGACGTGTATTTTATCACAGTAACGAGGGAGCTGTGTCCTTACTGAATTACAGGTGACAAGAAAAGTCTGAAGGGACCCGAACAACCACATCTCCCCAGGGAAAATCTACCCCTAGCAAAAACCATGGACATAACACAGACTCATCTGTCCATCGAGGGAAGAAAACCACTTTCAACTGCTATGGAAAATATGCTCACTCCAGTCACGTACATCCTGGCCATCAGGCTTAGTTTCACGGGACTGAAAGGAACCTTGACGAGTCCACAGGAGAGAGACGCCAGCTGAGTGCCGCACGGGACCCAGGTGTGGCAACTTAGCTCTGACTCCAGGCAGTCAGCGGTCACCAGGAGGAGCTACTTCCTGAGCACCCCATGGAGTCGGCAGTACTGCGCCGCCTGTGGGGGCCCCACACGTGGTCCTGTGTGTCACGCCCGTGGAAGACAGGTACGCACAGAGCAACGGCGCAAGGTGCTCAACAACACGGTGGGTGAAAGCATGCGCGCGAGGGGTCCCGGAGAGTGTGGGCTGCCCAGGACACAGGTCACCGAGGCACACTGCGTGGAAGCAAGGCCACCTGCCCCGAATCACACGTGGCCTCAAGAGCCAAGCAGGGCTGGGCTCCAGCGTTACAGACAATTCAGCCATGGCCAGAATAGGGTGAGTGCAAGGGCCCAGGGGCACGTGGTCACTGCCAACATGACATGCTGGGGACAGAGGAGCATAATGGAAACATTAGCAGGATGGAAGGAACCTGTCAAGAGACCAGACCAGGACAAAGACAAGGAAGGCGTCAGACCATGCCAAGGCTTCTTGTTGGGAGCTTGGAGGATGGAGGTGACCCTGCTGGAGAGAGGGGACCAAGCGGAGGGACGGGCTGTGGGAGGCGGACAATGAGTGTGAGCACCATGCCACCTGCCCCGTGCACAGGGCTGCTTCTCCCGCAGACCCCAGCTCCTCACTCTGTACGCGCAGCCTCACGGCCACACGCCGCGCAGGGAGGGAGCTCCCCCAGGGCTCAGAACTGCAAGATTCTACGAGTGTGCCTTACCTGCTAACTCATCACTGCCACCCAGGTCAAAAAAGACACTGCGCAGGCAGAACTCAGACCCACCGTCCAGGCCGAGAGGGCCACAGATGTGGAAACTGCCTCTCTCCTGCCCACAGGCTCTAGTGGATCAAGGAAAACCGATGTGAGCCTCGAGCATGTGCGCCGTGAGGCCATGAGTGCGGGTTTCCCAGCTGCCGCGCCACCGCCTGCCGTTACCTGAGAAGATGTTCTTGAGGTTCTCCACGGCCGCGGCCAGCTGGCTGTGCTGCACCACGGCGTCCTTCACGTCCCGCAGGCTCTCGATGGTGTTGATGCTCCGCCGCCAGTCCTTGCTGACGTCGGCCAGCGAGCGCTGGATGTCTCCGACGTCCTTCAGGGCGCTGTGGAGCTGGCTGAGGCCCGTGCGCACGCCGTCCAGCTGTGACTGGATTGCGGCCTGAGGGGACACACAGAGGTGAGCAGAGCCACCGCTGCTCTGCTTCCTGAAGAACAAATCTTCCCCAGGAGGCCAAGTCAGAAAAGAGCCACAGAGTAGCAGGAAGGAGCAAACACTCAGGAAAAAGAAAATAAAATTAATAAAATTAACAAGGATTTGATTGATTCATAAGAGAACTTTTCCTTTTTTTCCTCATTGCTGCCTGGGAACAGAACCATGATGCATTTTAACGCTTTGCTGAGGAAACTTCACAACACTCCTTGTCTAGCCTCGCACCTAGAGGCAGTGGACGTCACCGCAGGCGTGCCTTGGGCCCACGGCCACCCTGACATAGTGTCTTTAGGACGCCACCCACGCTCTCCTTGGGCAGCCCTCAGTTTGCAAGGGGGCCTTATCTAGGTAGAGAAAACCCTCACGACTTTCTGCTCAGTTTGAGGGGTCAGGTCGCAGCTGTTCAGCCAGAACCAGACCCAGCTCAGGGGCAGCTGGCCCCGCTGCAGAGGTGGGACCTCTGGGCCGGCCAGACGCCACCCGGCGAGCTGCATGGTCAGAGGCGAGAGGCATGAAGGGCGGCAGCAGGTGCACAGGACAGCGAGGAGAAGATCCCAGGAACACCTTCCACCAGGGTCCAGGTGCGTTTAGAAATAGTTAACTATCATCATAACAGACCACCCAAGGTTCATATCACTACCAATCACTGTTAGTCATCACTGATCACTGTTAGCCAAAAATTCAGGCTAAAAATGTAGCAGGTCCAAACTGTTTAATTAACAAGAACCTGCTGTCTCGAAGCAGTACAAACGCACCTTTGGACGCGCCGCCGGCACAACTGAACGAGCCCCGTGCCGCCCATCAAGGCTGCTGCCACCTGCCTGCTGCTACTGCTCTCAAGTGGAGAGGTGAACGTGTCACCCGTCAGCGACCATGAACTTTCCC